GCCTCGGGGACTCATTTACAAGAGAGAGCTTTTTTAAACAAAGAACACAGATGAGGTACAGACAACTGTAGACAATCATAAAAAAGCATATAAAATGAAGTGAATAGAATATATATTTTTTAATGGAACACACACACACACACATATATGTATGTATGTATGTTTTTATGTATGTGCATAAATCAGGATTTTAGTCAAGGAGAGGAAAACCTTGCTTAGTGTAAATGTCTAGGTGTGCTGCTACCATCTAGTGGACATTTTTTAGTCAAACATCATACTGTGCATTAATGGCATAATCAGGACGTTTCCCAAAGCTGGTGCTGGGACACAACTGCAGGCCATGAAACTAATGGAGGATTTTGCAAAGATCTGCAGATGTAAAAAAAAAAAAAAATTACAAAAGATTAGTAACAGCCTTGTCACCATAATTATTGAAAGAAGTGAAAACAATATTCATAAGTAAACAAATGATACATTCTTGTCACTTTGGTCTTATTTAACTTCTTTCTTGACAATTTTTAGATATTCAAGCAGTAAAACTTAATGTTGTGTATGTCCACTGCTGGTATTTTATGTTCTAAAAGCAGAAATTTCTAACGTTTATTTAGTCATTTTAATTAGTTGTGTGGCATAAACAAGACAATATTAAAGGCCTAGTATTCCTTGAAGAAATGCATCTCATCTACCGCTTTTTATGCAAAAGACCCAAACTAAAAGAATCTTATGTAGAAGAATGACAATGGTGTAGCCATTTTGAACATAAAATTATGCACAATCTCATGTGAAATTATTACATCTTGCGAGATTTTGTATGATCTGACGGAGCTTGGCAATTGTATTATGAATGACTGTCAGCTGTTACCAAACCACAGCAAAATTTTAGCTCAATGGCTGTAAAAGTCATTCAGCTCTAGATATTTTTATACAGACTAAGGTTGGTTCACTGTAGAACCCATCTTCATTTGACATGACGACACGTTACTCTGTTGTAAAGATATATGATTTATTTCTGAGCGTTTTCATTCAAATCTATTCAGTGGTTCATGAGATGTAGTGCAGAAAAACAAACACACGCTCAAACCTGAGAAAAATAATATTGCTCCTCCCTCCTTAAATGACACGTATCAAATCCATAAATATGGATGAGGAAACTAAAAAATTATATTAACTGGGCTCAGAAAACAGGTCAGCCAGATGAATGCCATGCAGCCCATTCAACTCTCATGCTTCCTCCTGTTTTTGGGGTCGCAATTATTTGTTTCCTCTGTTGCATCCTCCTCTCATAACTCCACATCGTGTCTGTTGCGGGGGCAGTTTCATCTAAATGGGATGCATAAACCTGGAGACGTGATGCTGGGGGGGCTGTTTCAAGTTCATTTCTTCTCTGTTTTTCCAGACCTGTCTTTTAACTTTGCGCCAGAACAGCTTACCTGTTATGGGTGAGTTAAATGGAGGCTTTGGCTTTAATATAATGATGTTGTATATTTCTGTGTAAAAACTTTATTTTTTTCTTTGTCAGTTTTGATGTTCTAGGAATTAGACAGGCCCAGACCATGGCCTTTGCTATTGATGAGATCAACAGAAATCCTAAGCTGTTACCCAACGTGAGTCTGGGGTTCAGCATGTATGACAACTGCCTCACTCTTGGAATTGGGTTTCGTGCAGCCCTGGCATTAATCAGTGGTCAAGTGGAGGAAATTATTTTAGATGAGACCTGTGTAGGCATCCCTCCAGTCGTAGCAATCGTGGGGGATTCTGCCTCCACAGGTAGTATTGCCATCTCAACCATTGTAGGTTTGTACAGAGTGCCCATGGTAAGTTTTTAGGTAAAACCCTCATTGTTTCTCTTGAATCATTTTGGCTTTATTTCACTTTTAATGCCCGCTAACATGAATTGTAAAAAGCTAGTTTTAAATATTTACTTAACTGTGCATTGAACAGGTGAGTTATTTT